CCAACCCCCAGAGACAGACACGACTGGACTTCATGTCAGGGGAAATCCTTTACCTTTAGTATAATATAATATATAAACATTTCTTGGAGCACCACAAGAAACAGTGGCTGAAAAAGTTGGAGAACCCTTGCACAAAAGCCACAATTCCCAGTTGCTATGGCATCTCTGCAGAGACTTTCCCCCTCTCTGTGTGTCAGGCACACACAAGCCTTTCCCCCACACCCCACCCTGGAATGTAAGCTCCCCATTGTGTTCTTGCAGTCGGGCCTCAGATTCATTTTTCCACTCCGGCTCTCCCATAGCAACATAATCCCCTTTTTGTTTGGCTCTGCTCCTAGAAACTAGTCCCAGTCCCCATTGTTGTGGGATTAATACTGTGTGTATTAGTTCTGTGTGTTGTGTTGAGACAGTCTGTAACGGGTGTGGGCAAACTTCGACCCTCTGAGTGTTTTGGACTTCAACTCCCACAATTGAGAGTGACACTCGTAGTATGTATCCATAAATAAATATGTTTTTGAGCAATATAGTGTTCCTCGCCACTTCGCGGTTCGCTAACCACAGACTCACTGTTTCGCAGAGGTTTAGCACAGCTGGTAAATCACCAGTAACTATAAGATCTGTCAATCGAAAGATTGCAACTTCGAAGCCCCGGGTCGGCGTGAGCAGTCGACTGTCAGCCCTGCTCACTGTTTACCTAAGCAGTTCAAAAACAGTTTTTGTGACGGCACGACTGGCGCCAGCTGTATGTAAAACTTTAAGTTGCAAAGGTTTAAACTGTTTTTTTAACCTTTTAAAAATTGTTTTATTGGTTTTTCCCACTCCCACCCTCCCCTCCTTGTACATGCAATTTATACATCAAACTACAGAAGTTACATTTGAAATATCAGTCTCAGTCTAAATTTTTCTACTCCACATCTTAACACATTCTCTAAATAATTCCTAACTGGTTCCCACGTCCTCTTAGTTATTGTGACCTTTTCAATTTTATCTATATTATTCAATTTGCAATTTAAACTGTTGTAACTTGTCCAGACTTGCCTGTTTACCCTGTAAATATACAGTTGGATTGGTTGGTTATCTACAGCTGTCAATCAATATTGTTTTGCATCAATTGGTTTGCTTCGCCAGCTCAGTTGTTTGGCCCACCCCTTCCTAGGGAGGAGGGTAGAGCTTTCTTTTTCATTCCACCATCAAACAGCTCAACAAGTGGACGTGAGAAAGGCTTAGTCAAGTAATCTCTTACCACCACTTCTTAAGTTTGTACTCTTAAGATTAATACTTCATTCCCAGGTCACCTGGATGACGTTGAGGAATCTTAAGTGCCTTCAAACCAGTCCTTTGGCATCAAGAGGAAGACTTTGTGCCTTCAGTATAGGTCATTGGACTGGGGTTGTGAATGTTCCGACTTCATAGCCATTGAGAAAGAGGGAATTTGGAAAGCTTCTCAGCTGGAAAACCCCTTGGATCCAAGACTCCAGAGACTGTAATGCAGTGGTTCTCAACCTTCCTAATGCCGCGACCCCTTCGTACAGGTCCTCATGTTGTGGTGGCCCCCAACCATAATATTATTTTCGTTGCTACTTCACAACTGTAATTTTGCTGCTGTTATGAATGGTAATCTAAATATCTGATATGCAGGATGTATTTTCAGTCACTGGACCAAATTTGGTACAAGTACCCAATACTCCCAAATTTGAATACTGGTGAGGTTGGGGGTGATTGATTTGGTCATTTGGTAATGCTGGAGTTGCTGGGATTTATAGTTCCCCTAAAATCAAAGAGCCTTCTGAACTCCACCAATGATGGAACTGAATCAAACTGGGCACACAGAATTCCCATGACCAAGAGAAAATACTGGGAAGGTCTGGTGGACATTGACCTTGAGTTTTTTGGAGTTGTCGTTCACCTACATCCAGAGAACACTGTAGACTCAAGCAATAATGGATCTGGATCAAACCTTACGCAAATACTCAATATGCCCAAATGTGAACACTGGTAGAGTTTGGAGAAAATAGGCCTTGCCATTTGGGAGTTGTAATTGTTGGGATTTATAGTTCACCCACAATAAAATAGCATTCTGAATCCCACCGATAGAATTGGACCAAACTTTCCACACAGAACCCCCATGACCAACAGAAAATACTATGTTTTCTGATGGTCTTTGGCGACCCCTCTGACACCCCCTTGCGACCCCCATGGGGATCCTGACCCCCAGGTTGAGAAACACTGCTGTAATGTATCTTTTCTTTACCCCTTTTGGAACATCAAGTTTAGTGCCTTAGAAAGATAACTCTTTGTGAACAATAAAGCCTATTTTGAGTTATCTATAGTGTCTTGATCCTTGAGAGTTCCAGTTCTCTAAAGGAAGGCAAGAAGCAATCCCCTGGGGAAAAGATGTCACGTCCATGTTTCTTTCACTAAGAACTATAGCCCCCAGGCAGCGGCGGCCCAGCTTTAGATGTAATTAGAGAAATTAGGTACCGTTAAAGTGGGGGAGGTGTTTTACGACGCCATAAAGAAAGAAAGTCAGAAAACGCTGGGTGACCAAAAAGGAAGGAGGAAGTCCTGATGGCTCTTCATCATAGAGGATGGAGCAACAGCTTCCTTGGCACCAAAACAGCTGGACATCAAGTTGAAACAACACACCTCCTTTTTGTTCTGTTCTTTTATAATTCCTAACAGGATTTTCTTTTCCTTTTACCCTAAGCAGGTTATGAGCAAGACAGGCTGGATGATTTGGAGGCAGCTCTGCCATCATCGGAACTGAGCAAACATAAAGCAGGAAAACAGACTTTGGAAGGTCAAAAGAGAGGGAAAAGTAACAAAAGAGACCAAACGAAGAACAGAAGGAAGAAATCTTTTTCTTCTGAGGAGTCTATCGCCTGTGAACTCCTGAACGTCCAGGAACTTCTTGGAGACGAAGGAGTGGAAAAGTGTCATATCTCTGGGGAAAGTTTCAAAGATAAATGTAAGGTGAAGGTACATTACAAAAGCCACACAAGGGACAAACCACATGAGTGCATGGAATGCGGAAAGGGCTTCACTCGGCATGCCTTACTACAGTCGCATCAAAGGACTCACGCAGCAGAGAAACCCTATAAATGCACTGAAGGTGGAAAAAATGTCACTGACAGTGGACACTCTGATTTACATCAAAGAGCTCTCATAGGACAAAAAACATATTCATGTACTGAATGTGGAAAGGGTTTCAGCACCAGTGGAAGTCTAAAATCACATCAAAGGACCCACACAGGGGAGAAACCATATCAGTGCCTGGAATGTGGAAAGGGTTTCAGCACCAGTGGAAGTCTGAAATCACATCAAAGGACCCACACGGGGGAGAAACCATATCAATGCATGGAATGTGGAAAGAGCTTCACGCAGAAGGCAGTTCTAAATTCACACCAAAGAATCCACACAGGGGAGAAACCATATCAATGCCTGGAGTGTGAAAAGAGCTTCACTTACAGAACAAGTCTAATTCTGCATCAAAGGACCCACACGAGAGAAAAGCCGTATGTGTGCACGGAATGTGGAAAGAGCTTCAGTCAGAAATCAGGTCTAAATTCACATCAAAGAACCCACACGAGAGAAAAGCCACACGCGTGCACGGAATGTGGAAAGAGCTTCAATCGGAGAGAACAATTGCAACTGCATCAGAGAATCCACACAGGGGAGAAGCCACATGTATGCATTGAATGTGGGAAAACCTTCAGACAGAGAGGACACCTACAGTTACATCAAAGAATCCACACCGGAGAAAAGCCATACGCATGCAGGGAATGTGGAAAATGTTTCAGTGACAATGGACGCCGTCGTCTGCACGAAAGAACCCACACAGGAGAGAAGCCATACACATGTATGGAATGTGGAAGGAACTTCATTAATAGTGGACATTTAGATTTACATCAAAGAACCCACACGGGAGAGAAACCGTATGCGTGCGTTGAATGTGGAAAGGGCTTCACTACCAGTGCAAGTCTAAAATCACACCAAAGAATCCACACGGGGGAGAAACCATATCAATGCCAGGAATGCGGAAAGGGCTTCAGTCACAAGGGAGGCCTAAATTCACATCAAAGAACCCACACGAGAGAAAACGCATACACATGTGTGGATTGTGGAAAGACCTTTAATCACAAGTCAAGTCTATATTCGCATCTGAGAACCCACACAAAAGAAAAGCCGTACACGTGCATGGAATGTGGAAAGAGTTTCAGTCGTGGTGATAATCTGCAAATACATCATAGAATCCACACGGGAGAGAAACCATACAAATGCACGGAATGTGGGAAGACCTTCAGACAGAAGGTCCAGCTACAGATCCATCAAAGAATCCACACCGGAGAAAAGCCGTACGCATGCAGGGAATGTGGGAAAAGCTTCCGGCAGAGTGGGTATCTTCGTTTACATGAAAGAATCCACACAGGAGAGAAACCATATACATGCCTGGAGTGTGGAAAAAATTTCAGTAACAGTGGGCATTGTCGTTTACATGAACGGACACACACGGGAGAGAAACCATACAAGTGCACGGAGTGTGGGAAGAGCTTCGGTCTGAGTCGAACTCTCAAGTCACATCAGAGAACTCACACAAAGGAGAAACCATATCAATGTATGCAATGTGGGAAGAGCTTCGGTAGCAACGCAAATCTGTATTCACATAAAAGGACCCACACGGGGAAAAAACCTCATAAGTGCATGGAGTGTGGAAAGAGCTTCTCTTTTAGCGTGAATTTACGTGTACATCAAAGAACGCACACAGGGGAAAAACCATACAAATGTATGGAATGTGGAAAGTCCTTCCATCGCTGTGGAGTGCTGCAAGCACATCAAAGAATTCACACAGGAGAAAAACCATACGTGTGCACGGAATGTGGAAAGGGCTTCAGTCGGAATGAACAGCTGCGATTACACCAGAGATCCCACGTGAGAGAGAAACCGTCAAAATCCACATAGGGGGGAAATCATGTACATGCATGGAATGTGGAAAAAACTTCAATCATAATGATAATCTGCATAAAGGTAAAGGTAAAGGTAGTCCCCTGACATTAAGTCCAGTCATGTCTGACTCTGGGGTGTGGTGCTCATCTCCATTTCTAAGCCGAAGAGCCAGCGTTGTCCTGTAGACACCTCCAAGGTCATGTGGCCGGCATGACTGCATGGAGCGCTGTTACCTTCCCGCCGGAGCGGTACCTATTGATCTACTCACATTTGCATGTTTTCGAACTGCTAGGTTGGCAGAACAATACAATAATTAAATACATGGAATGTAGAAAGAGCTTCAGTCAATGTGAATCACATGCTAAACATTAAAATATCCACATAAGAAAGAAATGTTGTAAACAGGAGAATAGTGTCCAGAAAAATGGATGTGATGTATTGTTTCCCCAAAATAAGACAGTGTCTTATATTAAGATGCACTAGGTCTTATTTTCAGGGGATGTCGTATTTTTCCATGAAGAAGAATTCACATTTAATGTTGAACTCCCCACAAAATGAACATTTATTACATACTGTGTACAGTATATAATTAATAGACTGGCCCTCACACACAGGGCCACAAGAAATAAGGGTTGTCAAGTCCCTGGATCCCACACACTGTCTGGAGACTGTAATCTTACCCAGCTTACCTGTCTGAACATATGTCTTCCTATAAACCATCTAGGACAGTGGTTCTCAACCTGTGGGCCCCAGGTGTTTTGGCCTACAACTCCCAGAAATCCCAGCCAGTTTACCAGCTGTTAGGATTTCTGGGAGTTGAAGCCAAAACATCTGGGGACCCACAGGTTGAGAACCACTGCAGTAAGTTAAGTGTACATTTTGATGAGGCCCTGCTCTCAATCCCACATGCCTCACAAGTGCGATTGGCGGGGACAAAAGACAGGGCATTCTCAGTGGTGGCCCCCCAGCTAAGGAACTCCCTCCCCAGGGATATTAGATCAGCCCCCTCCCTCCTGACTTTCCAAAAAAAGTAAAGACCTGGCTCTTTGAGCAAGCTTTTGAGAATGCAGCGGAATAGATAACACAGAACTATGAATGATGAACATGGAATGGCCAGACGATGTTTCATTGGGTTGTTGTAGGGTTTTTTTGGGTTATATGGCCATGTTCTAGAGGCATTCTCTCCTGACGTTTCGTCTGCATCTATGGCAAGCATCCTCAGAGGTAGTAAGGAATAGTTTGTAATTCTGATGCTGTTAGAAACCCCCCTGAAACAAGGATTTTTAACATAGAATGGCCAGACAATATTACTGGATAATGTTTTTAACAAGATGACACCAATGATTATATGCTTTAATAGTTTTTATTTATGTTTTATATTGTAATGTTGATTTTTTTAATGGTACATTTGTGAATGTCTGACATCGAATTATGCCAATCTGTAACCCACCTTGAGTCACCGTATGGATGAGAAAGTCAGGCTATAAATATTGTAAATAAATATATAAATTAATAAATAATCTCCCACCACAGTTCTGGGACCCCTTTATTTGTCGTGTCAGGGCAACCAGTCAATTACATTACATTTGTAACAGAACAAAGCAAACAAACAGACAAAATACAAAATTTGTGAGTTAGTAGTTTGACCAGTATCTGGCCACTTGGAGTGTTTCTGGTGTTGCCGCAAAAAGGTCCTCCCTTGTGCATGTGGCAGGGCTCAGGTTGCATTGCAGCAGGTGGTCAGTGGTTTGCTCCTCTCCACACTCGCATGTCGTGGATTCCACTTTGTAGCCCCATTTCTGAAGGTTGGCTCTGCATCTCGTAGTGCCAGAGCGCAGTCTGTTCAGCGCCTTCCAAGTCGCCCAGTCCTCTGTGTGCCCAGGGGGGAGTCTCTCATTTGGTATCAGCCATTGGTTGAGGTTCTGGGTTTGAGCCTGCCACTTTTGGACTCTCGCTTGCTGGGTGTTCCAGCGAGTGTCTCTGTAGATCTTAGAAAACTATGTCTTGATATAAGTCGTTGACGTGCTGGCTGATACCCAAACAGGGGATGAGTGGGAGATGCCTCTGCCTTGGTTCTTTCACTATTGGCTGCTACTTCCCGGCGGATGTCAGGTGGTGCAATACCGGCTAAATTATATTTATTTATTAGGTTCTTGTGGGTTTTTTCGGGCTATAGAGCCATGTTCTAGAGGCATTTCTCCTGACGTTTCGCCTGCATCTATGGCAAGCATCCTCAGAGGTATGAGGTCTGTTGGAATTAGGACAATGGGTTTATATATCTGTGGAATGGCTGGGGTGGGGCAAGGAGCTCTTCCCTGCTGCAGTTAGGTGTGAATGTTTAGCTGATCACCTTCATTAGCATTTGAAGGTCTGCCTGAGCCTGGGAAAATCTGTTGCTGGGAGGTGTTAATCTGTGCCTGGTTTTTTCCTCTCTGTTGTTTAGCTGTTATAATTTTAGAGTTTTTTAATACTGGTAGCCAGATTTTGTTCATTTTCATGGTCTCTTCCTTTCTGTTGAAATTGTCCACATGCTTGTGGATTTCAAGGGCTTCTCTGTGTAGTCTGACATGGTGGTTGTTGGTGTGGTCCAGCATTTCTGTGTTCTCAAATAATATACTGTGTCAGACTACACAGAGAAGCCATTGAAATCCACAAGCATGTGGACAATTTCAACAGCTAAACAACAGAGAGGAAAAAACCAGGCACAGATTAACACCTCCCAGCAACAGATTTTCCCAGGCTCAGGCAGGCCTTCAAATGCTAATGAAGGTGATCAGCTGAAACATTCACACCTAACTGCAGCAGGGAAGAGCTCCTTGCACCACCCCAGCCATTCCACAGATATATAAACCCTTTGTCCTAATTCCAACAGACCTCACTACCTCTGAGGATGCTTGCCATAGATGCAGGCGAAACGTCAGGAGAAATGCCTCTAGAACATGGCTCTATAGCCCGAAAAAACCCACAAGAACCTAGTGATTCCAGCCATGAAAGCCTTCGACAATATTATTTTATTATTTACTTATTTACAGCTTTATATTCCGCCCTTCTCACCCCTCAGGGGGCTCAGGGCGGATTACAGTGTACACATATATGGCAAACATTCAATGCCAATTTTGACATACAACATATACAGACATACACAGAGGCTATTTAACTTTTTCTGGCCGCCAGGGGAGCTGTCACTTTAATTGTCCATCTGCGACACTGATGAAGTACTCCCGCATTCCCCGCAAGCTTTTTTTGCTGGAGTCTTTTTTATGGCCTCATAAGTTAGTTAATTTAGCCTCCCCACACTTTTAAGGTGGTACCTTATTTTCCTACCTGACAGATACAACTGTCTTTCAAGTTGCAAAGGTCGACAACAGGCTACACAATGGCTGGACACCCACTCCAGGCCGGGCTGGCTTCGAACTCATGACCTTTTGGTCAGAGTGATCTTAATGCAGCTGACACTCAGCCAGCTGCACCACAATCCCGGTGCTTCCAAACAAAAAACTTTGCTAGGCCTTACTTTCGGGGGAGGCCTTATACAATAGATTACTTTGATTGTTTGCAAGTACAAGGAAAGTGGATCTGCATATCGTAATTGTACATTTGTATATATTGCAGCTGTGAAGATTAAAGCCTCCAGATATTTTGGGTGAAACCTGAATCTGTGATTTTACTAAACAGTGTGTAGAGAAGGTCACATGCTGGGAGTTGGACTCTGTTGATAGATGGACTGAAGCATGTTTTTGCTGTGAAAGGTCTCTGCTGTGTTTTTTTCTTGCTTCTGGGACACTTGCTATCCAGCTTGCCGCCATTTGGGGAGATCGTGATTTGGAAACTATACATCACTTCACAAACCGGCATCCTGCGGCAGTTATGACATGGGCACAGCATATTATTTGCGAACACAGAAATGCTGGACCACTCCAACAACCACCATGTCAGGCTACACAGAGAAGCCACTGAAATGCACAAGCATGTGGACAATTTCAACAGAAAGGAGGAGACCATGGAAATGAACAAAATCTGGCTACCAGTATTAAAAAAAAACTCTAAAATTACAACAGCAAAACAGCAGAGAGGAAACAACCGGGCACACCTAATCACCTCTCAACAAAAGATTCCCCCAGGCACTGCCAGGCCATCAAATGCTAATCAAGGTGGTCAGTTGAGACATTCACACCTAGCTCCAACAGACAAGAGTTCTTTGTCCTACCCTGGTCATTCCACAGACATATAAACCCACTTTCCTAGTTCCAATAGACCTCACTACCTCTGAGGATGATTGCCATAGATGCAGGCGAAACGTCAGGAGAAAATGCCTCTAGGACATGGCCATATAGCCCAAAATAACCTACAACAACCCAGTGATTCCGGCCATGAAAGCCTTCGACAATACATTAGTCATGACATGATTCTTCAAGGGCCCATATTTTCACATCATAGCTCTCAAAATAAGGTCCTCAAAAGAAGCAGGCTTGATATTTACTACACACTTTAGTTTAAACTTTTGCAGACTAAGTTTACTATCCGCAGAGGCAACCATGTGTAATGCTGAATGTTAACTAAGTCTGGAAAAAAAGGGTCTTACTTGGGCAGCAAGACAACATTTGATGACCGCAAAATAGTTCCTCTATTTTCCTAGGAAACCCCTTTGGAACCAAACCTTGAGGTGCCTCCTTGTGTTTGGAAGGCACGGAGTTGGAAGAGACCCCAAGGGCCATCCAATCCAGCCTCATTCTGCCATGCAGGACGACACAACTGAAGCAGTTCTGACAAATGACCATCTGGCCTGTTATCAAAATTCTATTCTATTTTGTTCACATCTCTCCTGGAATCTCTCTCTCTCTTAGGCGATCCCTCGTTGGCTGAGTAGGATAGTCTTCCAGGATCAGTGTTCTGGTGGGTCCGTAGGTGACTGTGGAGCCCTATTCTTGACCTGCATCTTCTCCCGCAGTGAGAGCATCAGTTTCCAGGTGGAAGGCGGTCTCGGTCAGGGTTGGCTTGACGTGCCTTCCTCTTGACACGTTTCTCTCTTTCCCCCTCCATTCATGCCTCTTCAAAT